GTGTGTGTGTGTGTGTGTGTGTGTGTGTGTGTGTGTGTGTGTGCGTGCGTGCGTGTGCGCGCGCGCGCGAGCGCGCGTGCGTGCGCAACCGTGCGTGCGTGCGTGCGCAACCGTGCGCATGCGCGTGCCGGGGAGGGGGCGTTCGTGGTAGGGTTGTTGAGCAGCTCCGGCGGCCAGTTTTGCCACGAACGACAACATTGTTCGCTGTTCGATGCTTTCCGCAGGCGGCAGCGGCGGGTTCGTGCGATCTACTGGGCGTTGCGCGCACCTGTAGAGCAGCAGCTGATTCGGTGGGATGCGGATGCGGACCTCAAGGTCAAACTCTCCGCCTCCCTGGCTGCCAGCCGTCCACACTGGGTAATGACTCGCAAAAGCTGTGGTGAGGTTGCGTGCCGCATAGCGCGACAGCAGCGACGGCAGGTGCAGTTATGTGTATGCTTGCTTATGTGTATGCTTGCTGGCAGATCCGTTGGAAGGTTAGGAATGAGGAGGTCCGCTCTAATGAGCGCGAGGCCGATGGCAGTGATGCTATGGTATGAGTAACTTATCATCATCAGGTGCAGCAGGCCGTCTGCCTGCATGTCAGGGTCGTGCAGGTCGGGGGGAGGTATCAGTTGAATGTTTCCCTTTGCGCGCACTCTGCACGCAACACCACCTCCAGCCTTTGCCTTCGTCACACAACGCACACACCTGCGTGGCTCCAGCGCTTGCCGCAGGCTGGGCCGCCAGGAGTGGGCTGTTGTACGCATTCGTGTAGGTTGCGCGTGACAAGGGAGCTGCTTGATGCAGCACAAGCTGCGGTTGCAAGATGATTTGCAGCGACGATGGTGAGAGCTGGCAGTGTGGTGAAAGGAATGATTGCTTCATTCAGCAACGCTGACTCCAAACAACTGCAGGTGCTGTGCCATCTGCACATATTACAAAAAAAGTGGCAGGCCAGTGTTGAACGCACCTGCCCGTCAACGCTGTACGAGGCACCAGGAAGAGGTGACGACGCCTCAACGTACGCCAGGCCGTGCATTTTCAAGCGAGCGGCGCTCTGGGCAGGATGATGGAGGTAAGGGTGTGTTCAGGTCAAGCTGGCATATCAAGTTTAGCCATATGCAGGTATCTGCTTGTGGATGCAGACGCGGACCAAGTGGGCCTTGCCTGGCGCGGACCTAGACACCGCATTAACAACGACGCGAGCACACGCCCGCCACCTGAGCCTGACCTGTAGAGTGTAAGTCAGCTGTAGTAGCAGCTTTACAGAGTGAATGGGTGCCGTGGTAGCCACCCGCGCGGTGAAGTGGATCAGGTCGGGCTTGCCATCAAAATTCTGGTCAATCTCCCCAACCTGTGTGCGAGATTGATCATGCGTTACCATCCACCAGAAGGGTCCACCCTCCCAATCAGCAGAGTGAATTTCACGCAGCACGTAGATGCAAGCCCAGAGTTAACATACCATTCAACAGCACCGACAACACACCTGCACCGAGGCCGCTGCCACACTGCCAGCAAGGAGGTTCTGTAATGCTGGGGAGCTGGCCCACACTTGCTCACCCCCAGCTTGAAGCCCCTGCATGGCAAGTAGAGGCACTGTGTTTGGGCATCCTGCCCAGCAGCAGCAGCAGCAGCAGCAGCAGCAGCAGCAGCAGCAGCAGCAGCAGCAGCAGCAGCAGCAGCGGCAGCAGCAGCAGCAGCGGCAGCAGCAGCAGCAGCGGCAGCAGCAGCAGCAGCGGCAGCAGCAGCAGCAGCGGCAGCAGCAGCAGCAGAAGCAGCAGCAGCAGCAGCAGCAGCAGCAGCAGCAGCAGCAGCAGCAGAAGAAGCAGGAGCAGCAGAAGAAGCAGGAGCGGCAACAGCAGCAGAAGAAGCAGAAGCAGCACAAGAAGCAGAAGCAGAAGCAGCGACGGCAAGATGCCGGGTGAACATGTGGGATCTTTAATCTCGCCCAGTTACACCAAGACTGCGCGGAACACGCCGCCACTGTCACCTCAAATACAGCGATGCCATCCCCTGTATAGTGCACGGCGGGCTGCTCCAGTTCCCAGCTGGCTTTTGCCCAGAACCCGCCTGTTGCAAATGCCACCAGGAAAGACAGGATGACTGCGCCCACCAGCACTGACGCTCTCAGTGCGAAAGGACCAGAAAATAGACCGCAGTAGTGGCGCCGCCACAGTTGCTCACGGTACACCTACTGCCACAGCCGGCCAGCCCATACGCAATGCGTATGAGATTTGAGGTTGTCGAGGATGTGCGCCGCGCGCGCACTTTGGACGCGGCGTATCACAAACGCTGCCCGCAGATGCAATAACTTCCACAGTGTACACGTGAACGCACGCCTGGCAGCCCCGTTGCTCGCAAGTCTTCGCGCACCTGCACCATCCTGCGCCACCGCCGTCCCCAGGTGCGCCTTTTGTGGTGCTGCCGGTTCAAAGGCCGCCGTGTTGAATGATGTTAGGGTCCTTGGTTCTACCGTTATTCACGTAGCTAATCTATCTGAGCGCAGAGTAATGCGCCGTGGACTGTTGTGAGATCACTGTGCCTGCACCCGCGCGTTCGTAAAACGATAAAAATTCAATACGTGTGACAAAACTTCTCAAATTAATGATTAAAGCAGAGACGCTTATGGGCGTTGCTTCCCAACACCATGTTTGACTGGCATGCTGCATCTGCCCTGCTGCTGCTGCTGCTGATCCCACGCGCGCCGTGAAATCTGCATGAGCTGCCGCAGCTGCACACTTTGATAGGCAAAACAGCAGCCTGTTACGCGGGCGGATCTAGCCTAAGCATCCAGCTGGCGCTCTCGGAAGCACCCTGATGTGCTTTTGTGTACTGTTGCTGCTGCTGCTGCTGCTGCTGCTGCTGCTTGTGTCACTAATGCATGCCTGTTCCAAAGCGGCATAAATGCCTCTGCATCTTTGCAAGGAGGAGGTAAGATTACACATAAAAACATCTCCACACCCCACAAGCCAGGCACATTGCTGGCGGGTGCTGGCCGCCGTTGCAGGGGGTGCAAGTCACGCGGTATCATGCACAAGCTGCGTGGGTGTCCTGATCCCATAGGTACGTATGGGAGCCGGCACACAAACCGCACTGAAAAACATGCAAAGGTCTGGTCAATCAGGTCATGTTGTCAGGGACCGGGTGGGTGAGCGAAACCACGAAAAGGGCGAAGGGATTGAGGTATAGGTGTGTGCATGAAGCAAAGAACAGTCACGAGGTGCGCGATCTGACCAGCGTAGCAGCCACGCAAAGAGAGTTTGTGCCAGGCCGTGCAGAGGCGTTGCTTCCTACAGCTGCTGCACTTTTCCACCTGTGGTGGTGGCCATACGGCAAAGCTCAGTCGGCACCGCAGGGGGCGTGCGCCTCACGCCTGTCAGCCAGTCAGGACGCGCTCGTCAGCGTGCGGGGCAGTCGTTGCAGAACCACTTGCCCATCTTCTCTGCCTTTGCTGCTGTCATCTGTCGTTCATATGGGTAGATTTTGCAAGGGTGTAGGGGGCCAGTGCCGTTTGGAGTGTGTAAGCAAATCAGCAGTGAAGCCAAACCCAGGTAGGCGACAGCAGAGCGCAAGGCCCACAGCCCGGAGAGAGCACTGGGCTGCCTCCAGAGGCGGCACGCCGCTGCTTTTCCCTGCCCAGGTCGACCGCCACACGGGCACCCACCTTGGTGCAGCGGCCGCAGAACCACCTGTCGCACTTGTCGCAGGCGATCCAGAACTCGTCCTGCTGGTACTCGTGGCCGCACAGCGGGCAGGGGTCGCCCTCACCGTCCTGCCACTCGTCAGACTCGTCCTCGTCCTCGTCTCCGCCCTGGGAGCCAGAGAACAGCGGGGGAAGTGGGGGAATCATGACACAGAGTTTGCACATCTGCGTGCATTTGCGCAAAGAATTACAATGCTGCCAGCTGCTCCCAACTTAACGACAGGACACGCACTCGCATGCTCTGACAGCTGCAAGCAGCACCGTGCAATGCCCATGTTTAAGGTCAACATCAGCCTTTTGCTGTGCTGCGCCCTCGGCCGCTCCCCAACAGCATAGAAATGCTGCCAAGTCACATCCTTACGTGCTTGGCATGCTTCGGCGGCCGCCCCACCACTGCGTTGCCCTTGCGCTTGGGCGGCGCTGCGGTGTTTGGCCGCACCCGGCCTGACACCACCTCATAGCAGGTGGGCTGTGTGTTGATCAAGTTGAACAGCTCCTCCCTTGGAGCGGGCAGCAAGGGAGATGGGCTGAGGTTCATGGTAGCCAAGGGGGCCAGGTATGAGCCGAACAGCGCGGGATGCAACAGCAGGGCGGCTGGTGCACGGCAGGACGTTGCAGCTGCTAAACATGGCATCGTGAGTGCTGGTTGGACACAAAGGAGGCCTTGATGCGAAGTAGCTGCAGTGCACAGCTGCAGTGCGCGTGCATGGCAGCTCCAAGTTACAAGCCCGCGCCGCGCTGTGCACGCACGGCGGCCGCGCTGTTGGCGCGCCGGGCGTCGCAAGGCGCACACCTCTGTTCCCGATTGAACCGTGCGCCCTTGTAGAAAGCCAGCGACAGCAGCCATGAGTCCGAGTGCACTGCTACGAGCGCCAGCCAGTCCTGCCGCTGCATGCCGTCCCTAGCAAAGTTGATCCCGAGCGCGGGCTCGGGGATTTCCGGCGGAACCTCCTCCACAGGAAGGTCCACGGCCCAGGTGCCGTCGGCATAGCCGTATAGGCACAGGTTCTCCCGCTCTGGATCGCACTGCGCGAAGAAGCGGTCGACCTCCGTTGTCAGGGCGCGCAGGATCGCCCCTTGTCGCCCTTTGTACTCGCTAAAGAGCTCCTGCGGAGTCCGGACCATCGCTGTTCGGTCTGCTAATGGCCTGTTGGCTGGGGCAAAACAAGCAGACCTGTGTGCTGATGAGATCACTGTGAGCAAAAAGCGTACATGGATGTCACGGAAAGAGCACACGGTCGTCTAATTTGTTCAAAGGGGGCCCTAGCCCAACGAGCTCAGTCACCAGACAGGGCAACAGCAGCCAGGTCACGTCTCAGGTGACACCGCACGTCACTGCGGTGGGCCGACCCATCAGCGCTGACGGGGTGGATGCGAATGTTCTCATTCAAATGGATGTTATAGTACGTCATAAACTCCACGCACTAGCCCACTGCATGCTACGAGCCATACACACGCACCGTAATTGAGTATCTTTGGGTCGCTACTGATGTCTCAACCGCTGGCCTTCAAGAATTAAACGAGGCTCTTTTCAGCGTCCTGCAATCAACCGGTTCAGAGGCCATCCTTGCTCATGGCAATGCAATCCAATTTATTTATATAATGGGACAACTATGTTTTATCAAACAGGAGGCCGTCGCGTGCAGTTCAAAGCAGGTACTGTAGCGAGAAGAGTGCGCATCGGGTGCAACAGAGTCGAGAGTCCAAAGCAAGCATACTGCAAGTACTGACATTGATGGGGCATTGATCTCAGGGGCAAGACACTAGGGCTGTTTGGACAGCGCCGGTTTAGTGGGTTGACCTCCGTGGAGGCATGCTGACATCGATGAACTTGTGATATCACAAGTTCACACCCACATGACCAGGCAACACTAGTGACATCAGCCAAGTGACACCGTGATGAGTCAAGTCCTGAACACCTAGAACTTGGGCCTTGCTGTGGTGCTGCGGCACCAGCGTGGCATCAGTCAGCCTCTCACCGGGAACCATGCAGCCAGCTGTGGTAAACCATTCGTCAACCAAGACATTAGGTGATGCCACCAAATGGTGACCCATCTCCAACCACCCCTTTCCCCGCACACATACGCGCGCGCACGCAAGCACGCACGCACGCGCACGCACGCACGCACGCACGCACGCACGCACGCACGCACGCACGCACGCACGCACGCACGCACGCGCACGCACGCACGCACGCACGCACGCACGCACGCACGCACGCACGCACGCACGCACGCACGCACGCACGCACGCACGC